TATTATTCTAGGCACTGATGTGAAGAGATTGCACAGATGTTATTAAAGCCCATAATCAGTTGTTTTAATACAGAAGACTGTTCTAGATCATTGGGGTGGACCTGATTCAATCAGTTGAAAGGCCTTAAAAGCAGAGCTAAGACTTCCCTGAAGAAGAAATTCTGCTGATGGACAGCAGATTCAGCCAATGCCTGAGAGTTCCAGCCTGCCCTATGGATTTCAGACCTGCCAAGCCAGTTCCCACCATCATATCTGCCAATTCCTAGAAATATGTCTTAATACTTATCTCCCACTAGTTCTGTTTCTCTGGTTGAACCCTGACTTATACAGTAACTTATTAAAAATAGGGGTAAAAAGAAACCACATCAGTCCTAAAGATTTCTCACAAAGTCTTGGACATACGGTTCCTGCCTCATTCTTGTGCCAAAGTCCATAAAAATCTCCCTTTTATGCGGCTGCCTTTTCTGAATGAGGCAACATTCCTGGCTCTGCTGGCAACTCTATAGAGCAGCTCATGGAAGTTCAAACTTATCGACTCTGACATATGGATCACGCTTCTGGGTTAGGTTGTTTTGGTTTTGTTTTGTTCCTAATACATATAGTTTTATACAATTTCTTTTATGTTAGGCTGACTCTTTGATCTCCCCAGGAAAAACTTCTCCCCCTTGGAGTTTCATTTAATCTACAAGAATCACCGACCACAGCTGTGGACTGGGAAGGTATCTACAGAGAGAAAGCTAAGCAGAGTGAGGAAGTGTGAACATGGACAGATAACTGCTTTTTTCTGAGGCCCATGCAATATTTGTTGGGCTCTCTCTGCAGGCTTCCCAAATCCTGCGTTCCAGAACGGAACGAGTTGGGGGAGATGAAGAGAGAGCATCTCTGATCACCATGCCCAACTTGTCTCAGATACCCACGGCTTCAAGCCTTCCAACAGCCTGACCTTGGTCTCTATTTAGCGATTGAGGAAACTGAAGCTCAGAGAGTGTCTTAGGTCGGGTTCCATGGAACAAAGAGCCGGAGACAAGTTTCCTTTTATTCTGACATAATTTCAAACTTAAAAAAAGGGTTGCAATAACAGTATAAGAAGCTCTTATGTATCTTTTATCCAGACTTGTTACATTTTGCATTCTGATCTTTATTCTTTATTTATTCTTTACTCTTTCTTTCTATCTCTCTCAAAAGTAAGTTGGAGATATCATGCAGCTTTACCACTACACATTTCAGCACTATAGCCTAAGAATAAGATCATGCTTTTATATCATCATGGTACAATGAAAAATCATGACGTTTAACACTGTTCTCATGCTGTTACCTGTATGGTCCATATTCAAATTTGGTCAAGACCCAATAATACCTCTTATAATTTCTCTTTTATTCCCCAAAATTCAAGATCCCATCCAGGATCTGCCTTGCATTTAATTATTTCTCTTTAGTCTCCTTTAAGCAGAAACATCTCAGTTTTTCCTCGTCTTTCTCAACCTTGTCATTTTCAAAACACGTTGGCCAGGCATTTTGTAAAATGTCCCTCAATTTTGGTTTGTCCGGCACAAAGTCTGGATGGTGGTTAATAAGCGAAATGACCCAGAGGCAGGACACTCTAGTATGCCCGTGGAGCACTGGGGGCTGCAGAGCAGGGTCTGAGCGCCTGGGCTCCGGGGCCAGATGGCCTGGGCTGAAGCCCTGACTCTGTCACTAACGGCGTCCTCTCTCCAGATATCTGCTCAGCATCTGCGAGGGATAATAACAGTACCAAGCCAGAAGGCTGGTCAAGAATTAGATGAGACCAGGTTTATAAAGCTCTTAACAGAGTGTCAGCAACATACTTAGTCGTCTATAAATGTTAACTGTTTTATGAATACCCTTGATTTTCCCACAGGCTGTGGCAGGTCTGTCCTGCCTCATCTGATTCACCTTTGTCCCTCCCCCACCCCCAATCGCTGTCAGCAGGGACCTCCCTGACACGTGGGAGTGACTACAAAGCACTCCAGGAGGGGCTGGCAAGAACAGTGATGATATCCAACTACTTGAGAATAAAAATGGGGAAGGGAGTAGAACCCAACGCTTGTGAGGACACAGCTGACTCCTGAGACAGCACCTCTTGTTGAGTCTTCATTATCTTGATGAAAATTCCACCCAGATGCACAAAATGACGTGAAAAAGCACAAACTCTATGTAGATCCTTTTTCATATGTCATTAACCCCCCCAGAACCTCCCAGTGACACCCCCTCCGAGAGTCCTGCTTTGGCCTTATTGACTTGGGGCACTGGCCCCAGGGCAACTCACCAAAGGCTTGTTGACCCTATCTTGGCCACTCAACTTCACTCCCTGGATTCAGTCTTGGCCTCTGGCCTAGGTGTTCCAAGATATCCAAGCCCAGCTGTTCTCTTGACTTTGCAGCTCCTAACTGAGCCCTGAAACTTTGAGGGACTCTCACGCCTATGGGTGGCAGACACACGAATGGCCAGTCATGTTGGCTCTGTGGTCATTGTCAATCCTACAGCCACACAGCAGCTTTTCAGTACGTTAATCAGTTAACAAGTGCTGTGTGCACAGAATTGGAACTCAAGAGCCACACTGCCTGGGTTCAAGTCCCAGCTCTGACACGTTAGTTTTTTGGATAACCTTTCTGAACCCCAGTTTTTTCATCTGTAAAATTGTTTTAATGATTCTTGGTGGAAGTTTTTAGTCCAATAACATCTGAAAAGCAAATTAGCTTGGCATACTGTAAACACTTAATAAAAAATGGGTATTATTGTTGCCATTATTATTGGCTAATGGGCACTGGGCTTGTTTAGGGGGTTATAGAGGTGAACGAGGCACAATCTTTGGCTCCAAACACTTCCAGGTCAGAGGAAAAGGCATCCACATCTCTCCTCACACTTGCCCCTAGCCTTTTTTGATTTAATTTGCAAAGTCTTAATTTGTCCTGGATTAGCGCAGCAAACTTTAAGGGGACCCCTTATCTTCAGCATCAGGATCCAGTGAATCAAGCTTGTGGGTATTACTTGGGTTGGTTCTTCTTTACTTAGAGCCCTAAGCAAAATGAATGACTGTGGTGGATAGGGGCAGCCATGAAAATCCAAGGAGGTTTTCTCTGCTGTACCGAGACCTAGGAACAGGTGGATAGAAAGTCTAGAGTCCCACCTAAGTCAGCAAGACCAAGCCAGCAGCTGGGACTCTGTGTGAGGGCTGATCCCAACACCAGGCTCTAATCCCATCAGGGAGGAGGTGTGTTGGACAAGGGAGCAGAGGCTGAGATATGAAAACAGATAAAATAAACAGGCTGAGTTAAAGAAGGCCTAGGGCTCCCTGTGACCTCTCTGGGTACCCTCCAGCAGCACAAGTGGTTCTTATTCCCATGCAGGCTCTTCTCTGATTTCCTCTGTCCTGGTCGGGACAGATACCTGCAGTGCAGCTTCTGAATTCTTTCAACCACATTCTGTGAAATGCATTCTACAGTGCTCTTAGCTGAGATTTGGCATTGGGTAAAGTCCAGACAGAGCCTAGCCCCGCCTCCCCAGCCTGGATCTAGTCAACCCTCCTGGCCAATCCTTTTGAACTCCACTCTGACATCCCCACACCTGGCGCCAGGGGTACATGCATCTCACCGAGTCTGTCTCAGAAACACACAGTGGCTTTTCCTCCTCTGTCCCTTTCTTTTCCCCAGAAACCTCCTGGAATGACTTCTTACTGAGCACCTATTATATGCAGAAAATGTGATCTTATAATCCTCAGAGCACCTCTACAAAGACTCTCTGTCATCCATTTACAGATGAGGCAACTGGAGTCCAAGACAACAATGGATGCACTGAAGGACAAAGTGAACCCCAGGGGCAGGCGATTCCAGCCCTTGCTCCCCACATGAGACTGTGCAGTCTCCAGCCCCTTTGCTCATTAATAAATGGTTTTAACAATGCCCCGCCTCAACGAGCACACCCGTCTTCCCATTCAGTTCTTGTTTCAATGAGAAGCTATAAAGCCCTCAGCACAGGACCTGGAACACTGAGTAAACAGAAGTAGCATCACTCCTCAGCCCTGAATTATGTTCATTGCATCCAGGGGGAAAAGCAGGTCAGGAAGGAAATAAGTGTTCCTGGAAATCCTTAGCTCCTTTGCCCTCAGAGGGAAGCTGCTTCTCAGCTCCTGAGTCCTCATAGCTCTAGCCAGGCAGGTGCTCTTTGGTGAGAATCAGGACTGCACACACAAGCCAGGAGCATTTGTTCAAGAATTCAAAGCCAGCGCGTGGCCCTGCTATTAAACTCCCTGTGGGTGAGCTGGGTTAATGGCGGGGCCTCGTGTGATAAGCCATTAATCTCTGTGTGTAATGCAAGAACCGTACAACTTAACTTCAGCCTTAATCTCCCATGAGTTACAGCCTTTTCTGTGATTCATAAAACAAATCAATCACACCTCCCAGGCTCTCTTCTATTTATACTTCTTTTTTAAATGTTGGGAGAGGGAGAATACGGCAGATGTTATTCATCCCCTTGCCAGCTCATCCAGTCTCTACCTGCTGCAGGAAAAAGGACTCCAGCCCCCACCCACCCTGGCCCAGGTCACAGACCAAGGTTAGTTGAATTTGGAGGCTGACAAAAGCAGATGAGTTTGCATTTATAACATCTGGAAGGAGACTCCCTACCACGCCCTGGGACCTAGGCCATTCACCACCCACTGAAGTCTCGAAGTCTTATCAGTATGGTAGATTTCAAGCCCAGCTAACAGGTTTAAACTAAACCTGTTTCCTCTCTGTGAGTCTGGGTAGACTTGTGATGTTTCCATCCATAGGGTAAGGCCAACATAATTCTATGGACTTCTAAGGTTTGTCATCAAAGTCCCTGCAACTTCCATCTCATTCTCTGGAACACTGTGTTTCCAGGTAGAAGATTGTACTGGATCAGGTCTGCAAGGAGACATGCCTCCTACTGAGTCCCATTCTAGCCATCCCAGCCAAGGACCCCCTGAGCATCTCAACCCTTTTGCATGAACTTCTCCAAGTAGAACAGACATTTGGCTTTAGCTGCCTGAGCATTTCAGCTCTTTGTCCTGACTTTCTCTGTAGTTTAGCAATCTTCCGCTAAATAACAATTCAAATTTGCCCATTGGTGGTGGAGATGGTAAAACCAGGAGGATGGTAGCTTCTTGGCCATAGTTCAGGACCTGGATGGGGGTTGACACATTCACTGGTCCGGCCTCTCTGGAAAACAATATGGAGGTTTCTCAAAATACTGAAAATAAATCTACCACATCCCACTATAAATCTACCCAACTATCCCACTCCTAGGTATCTACCCAAAGAATGCAAACACCTATTTGAAGGGAAACACACACACCTGTGTTCATTGCAGCACTGCAGTAGCCAAACTACTGTAAATAGTTGGGAACAACTAAAGTGCCCAAATGCAGACAAATGAATCAGGAAGTTGTGGCATAAGTGGACCCCACAAGGGTCCACTACTCAAATATGTATATGTGTATATATATATATATATATATAAAATATATATATAATATAAAAATTATGTATTATATATAATATATTATATTTATATGTGTGTGTAATATATATATTTATATGGTATATAGATATATATCATTTGCAACAACATGGATGGAACTGGAAAGGATTATGCCCAGTGAAATAAGTCAGAAGGAAAAAGACAAATACTGGATTATTTCATTTATATGTAGAATATAAAGAAACAAAACAAATGAACAGACAAAACTAAACCCAACAAGTCCCAGACTCTGACTGCTGAAATGGGGTGACCATAGTGGGAGGGTGTGTGGTGCCAAAAAACAGGAAAGGGGACATAGGACCGTGGTGGAGGTTGATGGGTGCCCTGATGGTGGGTGTGGTGTGGCAACAAAATCTGAAGAGGTGTGAACCTATTTCCCTAAATCATATACAATCTTGTAAACCAAAATTACCTCAATAAAAAAAAAAAAAAACACAATTTCTTAAAAAAGGCTTTGCATTCCTCACCAGTGTCCAGGTGACATGATGCTGCCAATGCAGGGACCACACCTGGACAGCCTCTCAGCTCACACTCCGGGATGTTCTTTCTGAGGCTCACTTTTCCCAGACTCATGCCCACTGGCTGTGCCCAAGCCAACATCCCTGTTGGGATCTCTAAATCCACCGGCCTGTTTCTTGCTTTCAAAGCCTTAGCTCCACATCACCTGGACATCCCTCTACCTGGGCTGTATTCCCCAGCCCCTCTCCTCCTGGGGGGTTCTGCCTAGAGCCACCTCCTAATCCCACTCTTCTCCCTCCCCCAAGGATGCTCCCCCAAGAGATCAGCTAAGAAGGCAGACCGGAAGGTCAGCTGGTGTAGACCCAGCCTCCCCCCGGGGGATTTAGGAAGCCTCTGCCCTGCTGCCGTGGGGTGTTGCAATCCTGCCTCTGGGTGTGAAGGCATTGCCACCCCTGCCCCTCTCCTCCTGGGGGGTTCTGCCTAGAGCCACCTCCTAAGCCCGCTCTTCTCCCTCCCCCAAGGATGCTCTGGTCTTGTTGTCTGTATCACCATGTCCTGCCTGTTTGCTTCTTAGCACCATCCAGCATACAGAGGGAATGTGGGGCTCTGCTTGTTTGTGGGGATATTCCAGTCTTGGGTGAGTTTTCTAGCTCCACCTTATTGTAGGCTCTTTCCAAAAAGACTCCATGTGAATGGCACTGCAATCCCAGCCCAACAGGTGGTGCCGGCCACATCACAGGTCCTCAGAACATGGTGTTCAGTGGGCACATCGCCTTGTTTTGTGTTCACAACAGCCCTGTGAGAAGGGGATCATTAAGTGCCTAGGTGTGGAAACAGAGGTGTGAAGAGGTCAAACAGCCAGGTATTGAGCCCAAGTCTTCAGACTCCAAAAGCACTCACCAACACTCCCTTGCATATCTGGATGGGAGAATAGAGGAGCAGGGCTACACAGGGGAGAGGGTCTTCATAGGAGGTGCTGGAGAGCAAGAATGGACAGGCAGCCAGAGATCAGCTAAGGAGGCAGACCGGAAGGTCAGCTGGTGTAGACCCAGCCTCCCCCCGGGGGGTTTAGGAAGCCTCTGCCCTGCTGCCTTGGGGTGTTGCAATCCTGCCTCTGGGCGTGAAGGCATAGCCACCCCTGCCCCCACCAGACTCTCCTCTTCTGGTCTCCCATTGGCCTGGGCAGTAGGTGGAGCAGACCACAGACACTGAGAAGGGGCAGGGTTCAGGGCAAAAGCTGTCGCAGGGCATGACGGGGGTTGGGTGCAGCTGAGGCAGGCTGGGAACAGGAACACAAGAGAACGTCACCACAGCCAAGGTTCCACGGTCAAAGGTCTTAAACTCTGTGGCATGGATTTCACTGCCGGTGGTGCAATGACCCGTCTGTGGTTGCTCCAGAGGGCTAAGCTCCAGGGCTCAGCCCCATGGGGACTGCCGCCCTGCCTCATGGCTATGGCTGTATTCTGTCTAGACAGCAGCCATGAAATTCCAGGTAGTGAGAGAGCCTGGAAGAAGGAAACCTCCCACCCAAGGGAGGTGTGACATCTGCCACCGAGTCCCCAGTTTGAGCACCAGCAAGGATGGTAGGAATTGAGTACCAGATTGTGAACTTCAGGGAAGAGGGGTGCTCCTGTGGAGAGTGGGGGTGGGGGTTGCTGGTCAGAGAAAGGTGATGACCAGATGCACAGGTGACCCCTGGGCACCCTAGAGGGCAGTACTCCCGAAGGCAATGGATCGCTCATAAGTGATGGATCTCTCATAAGCAGCACAGAAGCCCTTTCTCCCTGTACAGGCCCTCTCAGAAGTTGGACCTGATAGCAGAACCCAAGAAGCTCTGGCCTAAAGGCAAAGCAGGATTAGGAGAACCCTTGCTCGTCCTCTGAGTGCACACAGGTACACGAGTATCTGTGCACAGCTGCACATCCACAAAACAGAGGAAGCAGATGCAGAGGTGGTGGATGGCACCAGCCAAGCTCCAAAGCAACCCCAACGTGGTCTGAAAGCTAAGACCAGTCCAAATCTCTCATGAGCCAGTCCATACTTACAAGAGCAGGTACCAAGCACTGGCGGGGGCATGCAGGACATGACGCAGACATGGTGCCCTGGCTTGGTAAAATTTTAGAGTGCGATGGGAAACATGGGTGCTAAATGCATCTACAATGGGTGTGATCAGGCAGTTAGAGGGCGGAATAGGACACTGAGGGCTTGTGCACCACAGAATACACCCTTCTGGGCAATTAGGGAGGCCTTCCCTAGGGAGCATGACTTAAGGGGTCCAAAGAATGATTAGAAGCTAACCAGGAGAGTGGCAGGGAGGCAGGGCAGAGAGGCTGACAGTTTCGCGGTGGGGAGCAGAAAGAGCAAGAGAGAAACAGGAGAGCCCGTGATGAAGCCAAGACAAATTAGAAAGAGTCTCAAAGAAATAGAAGTGGTAATTATTACTCTAAAGCACACCCTCAGACTAGTTTAACAAAATGTTGCCTTAATTATATCTACCTTAATGAACAGATAAAAACAGTTTGTAATTAGTCCTGTAATTGGTTATGTGAAAAGAGATGCTTCTTCGAGTTCTAAAGTAGGTTGTCCCGTAGACAATTCATGACAAAGGAGATGTGTCTTCAAGCCCGAAAGCATCCGCAGAGCTGTCGCGTTCAAGGACCTCATACACATATTTTCTCCTGGGATCTGCAAACTTAGACATAGTTCTAGTCATCTGAATTGGAGTCACCAAAAAATTATAAAAAGCCTTACCCCGAGATATGAGAAGAATCCCTGTAGAGCAGAGACAGAGAAGACGGTTCAAATCCCACATTTGTAGCAAAGGCAGTTTCCTTCCCTGTCACAAGACTCAGCCTTGGCCTTGGCTTGATAATGGTACGACTTGGTGGAGTTGTGGAAACTAAGCAAGGTCTCACACATAGAGAGAGAATATAGCACAAAGACAGGCTCACAGACAACATTCTAGAAAGGCTCCACAAGTCCATTCTTGTTAGACTCATCTGCAATTGCTGGCACAGCGAATCGCTACCAACTTAGTGGCTTAAACAACACATGTTTATTATCGTCCAGTTATGCGGATTTGAGTCTTTGTGAGATATGCTCAAGGGTTCGCAAGGATGTTCCTTTCTAGAGACTCTGGGGAGAATGCATTTCTGTACTTAGTTTCTGTGTCTAGAGGGTCTCCACTTTCTGTGGCTTATGACCAACTTCAAAGCCAGCGATGTCACATCCTTCTGACCCTGCTTCTCTAGCTACCCCTAAGCAGACCTGGAAAGTGTCCTAAAATTTAAAGGGTTATGTGATCAAATCAGGCCCACCTGGATAATCCAGGATAATCACCCTATCTCTAGGTCCTTAACGTTAATCAGGCGGCAAAGTCCCTTGTGTCTCATAAGGGGACATAATCAAGGGCTCCAGGAGTCAGGATGGGGACAGCTTTAGGGGGTCACTTTTTTGTCTATCACATGTGTGTATATTACCTACAATGATTTTGTAAAAAAATTAATAAAACATTAGTCCTCACAATATATACATTCATTCTTCCACTCTTTGTCTCTCCCTGTGTCCCCTCCTGTCTTTCTGTGTTGTTTTTTTTTTTTTTTGCAAATGAGTTCCCCACAGTATCAAGTATAAATCCATTGTACTGCTATTCTAAAAACTTGGGTATACCCCGAGTCTCTCTCACTTTTGGAGGCTCCTCCATCTCACATCATGAAAACCATATTAAAATACACCCACATCCTATGTGTGGGTTGGTGTTAAGTTGAATTGGGCTAGTTCCCAATGTTAGGCTTTATACACATTATTAAACATTCACTCTTATATGTCACAACTTCCTTTACTTGTCCAGATGGAGCCATTTTCACAGAGCCCAGAAAAGCGAACAGGTGCATATACACTTACCTTAAGAACTCAGTGAAATAAAGGCCCTAAATAATGGATATTGCTCTGAAGTAGGCTGGGGGATGAAAGAAGAGAAGGAGAAAGTGGGAGAGAGGATTGAGGGAGAAAGGGAGAGAGAAATTAGAAAAAGAGAGAAGGAGAGAAATTGGAGGAAGGAAGAGAGAGAGAGAGAGGATGGAAGAAAGAAAAGAGAGCAGGAAGGGACAGAGAAAGGGAAGGCGGGAGAGAGGATGGTAGGGGGGTGATGGAAGGAGGAAACTTGACTTTCAATTGAAAACACAATGACCCACTTTGCTCCCGTGGCAGAACCCACGGATCACCCATGAGTGCAAAAATTCCTTATTCCTGTCAAGTGATTCCATCAAGGCCTCTGTTCTTTCATTTATTCAAATATTTCCATTGTACCTGGTAAGGGCCCATCTTCACACCAGGCTCTGGGAACGTGTCCTCAGTTCAAAGGTCTCCCAGTGCAGCCGAGAGAGTCGTGAACACGGTAGGCACGCTTCGCCTCCACTGCGGGAGCAGGCCGGCGAACCTGTTATCACAGAGAATGACCAAATGTTTGTCAGGTCTGCGCAAGCCCCGGGAACAATTCTGTCCCTTCGCCGGCTCCTTTTCTACATTTGTTGGAACAATTAACACACAGCAAAATGCACAAATTCTAAAGAGGCTGTCTTTCCATTTTAACTGAAACCACTGAACTTTCCCATCACCCCAGAAGTTCCCCTGTGCCCTTTCCAAGTAAATCTGCCCTGTCCCAGAAGCAATTTCTGTTCTGATTTCTTTCCCCATAAGTTAGTTTCGCCTGATCCCGCTAGAACTTCACATAAATGGAATCATACAGGAGAATGCTTTCGCGTCTGGCTCCTTTGGCTCAGCATGATTTCTTTTGAGATTCCAGACATGCAGTTGTATCACTCAACTGTTTATTTTTATTGCTGAGTTGTATTGCATTGCATAAATAGACCATAGCTTTTTATCCATTCTCTTGATGATGAATATTTCGGGCTATATCCGGTTTTAGGCTATTGCCATTAAAGCTACCGTAAACACTTTTGTAATGGGGGGGGGGCGGTACATATTTCATTCCTCACAGATGAACACCAAGAAGTGGGATTACTAGGTCATAGGGTAGATGCATATTAAGCTCTTTCATGTCAAAATGTTTTCCAAGTGGGTCTACCATTTACACCCCCACCTATGGTGTCCACATCCTTACCAACATCTTCTCTTTCCCATCTTTGTTGCTGTAGACACGTAGGAAACCCAACTCCAAACTCTTTATTTTTTTCATCTTAAATGGAAATGCTTAAGCTTGGATGCGGAGAATGCCCTAAGAAGACTCTCACCTCTACAATTACACTGAAAAGTGTGTGTATATTTTGAAGTGTCTGTTTTTCTGAGGGAAGAAACCACAGCTTTCAAAAACCAGAGAGGGTCATTACTGTAAGAAAGGTTGACATTTGCAGAACAATTCTTAGAAGCAGTGGGGTTCACCAGATTCTAAGACAGGAACCAGACCCAGAATGCAATGTGAGGGGAGACAGTGGGAGGTGGGCACCCCCTCTGTAGAAGTCTCCTTCAGAATTATCTGGAGCTTGGCCATTGGGACTCAGCCTGGCCAGGACTGCAGCCTGACATTGGACCTTCTCCAGGAGAGATAACGAGCCCCTGCTAGACACACCCAGGGACATTCCTCCTCATGGTCTGGCTGCCCGACAAGGATGAACTATGATAAACCCACCCTTTCCCAAAGGACTCACAGTACCACCCCCACACACATTAGTTTCTCCAGAAAAGCTTCAGTATCACATGGGGCCACCACAGCTTTGAAATTTCCATATACGCTTTCATCTTCAGAGACCCCCAACACTCCCCTCAAAATGCACCAGCCCTATCTGGATAAAAATCCCTCCTCCTTGCTATAAAAGCACCCATTCTGTCCTGTCCAACACTAGCCCCATGTGGTCACTGAGCACTGGAAAAGTGGTTGGTCCAAACTGAAATGTGCTGGAAGTGTAAAATGCATACCAGATTTTGAGCATTAGAATGAAAAAAAGAATGTAAACTATCTCGTTCATAATTTTTATATTGACTACATGTTGAAATGACAGTATTTGGAGATAATTGGGTTAAGTCATAGAAAAGATTATTAAAATTAATGACACGTGTTTCTTTACTCTAACTACTAGAAAATTTAATATTGCATATATGGCTTGCATTATAGTTCTATTGTATACTCAGGTCTGGTTCATCCTGCCCTGAATGAACGTATTTCCCAAGACCCAAATCTGTGAGGCCACATCATAGCCCAGGAGACCAGGCCCCCCTTATTATCACCATAGCCCACTAGGAGGCCCTCAACAGAAACTCCCCAGGTCTTAGCACTGGGTCTAAAAAGATGACACGTGTCCCGGTGATGTGGACAGATTCACAGACCTGAGTAGGCTGCTTCCTGGCCTGCCCTGGCCCAATCTTGAGCCCAAAGCAGCTGGCAGTCTTGGGCCAAAATGATGACAAGATGGCAGAGTTCAGCGATGCATTGCCCAGTGCTGATGGTGCTCACTTAAGAGCAAGGGTCAGCCAAGCAGCGTGACTGACCACACTGGTTTACCCATGGGTGAGAGAACTCCTGGGAATCAGTTTTAAAATCAGGAACAGTCCCAGGCCAAGCAGAATGTGTGGATCACGCTGGAGCCAGGAATGCCCTCGAGATCTGCCTATCAGAGGCCATAAGGTAGAATCACCTCCCACCCACCCACCAAACCCTGAAAGACTAAGGATATCCGGAGCAGGTGGCAAGGTTCCCACTGCTGCAGACCTCACCTGAACCAGGTGAGAACCGCAGTGCTCAAACCACACCCACTAAGGTGGCTTCAGCTGTGCTGAGAGGTCAGGCTCCTCCTGGGAACTGGGGGTGGAGGGTGATTGATCACCAGGCTCCTTTGTGCTCCCCAGGGGCACGGCGTGGATGCCCATAGCAGAGGCCTCTGGGTGGGTAAGGGGACCCGCTCCAACAGCTGGGGTTTTGCCATGGGCTGACCCCTCCCAGGGCACACAGCAGGGTGATTCCCTGGGTTGAGGCTGAGGAAGGGGCCTTTGTCTGGAGTTGTCCACACAAGCAGACATCACTGGTCTTGTGATCATCAATCTCTCCTTTTCTTTTCAACACACAACAGTGTCTCTGGCACTGTCACTGAGGGAGCAGAGGGGGTAACAGAAACTCACATGCATTTCAGCTTTCCTGTGGATTTAGAGACAAGCAAGGCTGATATTCAGATAAGGAAAACAAGCAAGGTCCCACTGATACCCCTTTATGTGCCAGGCATTGAGAAAGGTGCTGGAAATATTAAAATGAATGAGCCCCCCTCCTGCGCTCATGATGCTTACAGTCAGGTAGGAGTCATTACCTAAAACATTTTTAATGTGATGAGAACTATGGCAGGAGAAGCGCTGAGTGTCATGAGAACTTGGATCCAGAATCTGCCTTAGTCTAGGAAATCATGGAGGACTTACCTGAGGAAGTGACCATCATGTTAAGACTCAAAAACAAGCCAAAGTTAATGTGCACTTGACTCTGTACCCTGGTCCCTCAAGGATGGGAACTCCGCGAGTACACCAGGTGTAGACTGGGTGCTGGCACACTCAGTTAGGACCTGGAGTGGGACGTGGCAGGAGGAGCCCAGAGATTCCCAACCTGGACTGAGAAAGCAGCCTCAGGAGAGAGCACAGAGAGGTGAGAGGACAGCTGTGGGCCCAGAGCCTAGCACACCTGCGTGCACTGCAGGCTCACACTCACTGTTCTTAATCACACCTCTGGGTCTCAGCTTCCTCATCCTGAAAATGGGAGCAAAATAGCACCTATTTTTCATAAAATTGTGAAAATTATAAAAGGCAATTCATGGGGAAAGACCAACCTGGTGGAGACAGCATGAACTAGATAAAAAGTGAAATTTTCCACTTCAAATTATTAGTCCTACAGTGAAGAAGAAAAAAAGCAAGACACCACGTGCTGTGTGAACCTATCATCTCCATCACTTATCTTACAGAAGAGTTATTTTTTTAAAACTCTAAAACTGGCAAAATGCCACGTTGCATCTCAAGGAGGAACTATTGGAGCCGAGCCTGGAAGGGTGGATTTTGACTTGCAGAGATCAAGGAGAAGTTTCCAGGCAGAGGAGGAGGATGAAGAAAGGCACGGAGACCAGAAGGGGTGGGGTGTGGGCAGGAGCAGCCAGGACACCGGAGGAGCAGGGGAATGACAGAGGGCAGCTGGCTCGAGGGCTGGGTCAGGTGGTGTGGGAGGATTGCAGGGTCACGCTGTGAAGTTCTTACTTCCTCCTACAGGCGATGGCCAGGCTAGCGAAGATTTTGGATCTGGCCAAAAATGTGTTGGGTTTTGTACAGGCAGAATGCAGATTGCCTGGGAAAGAGAAACTGGAGGCAAGGAACCCAGACGAAGTTGATCTATGTGTCTAGAGCAAGAAGCAAGAATCAGCAGATTTTCTAGAAAGGTTCATCCCAAGCACTACCATCACCAGCACACTAGGTGTTATTTCTTGGTTCCATGCCTTGGTATAAACTACTTCCTCTGCCTGAAATTCCAGTGAACTAACCTTCCAAAATTAGTCGTGTCCTTCATTCATTCAACTAATATTTACTAAGCACTTCTTCTGTCAAAGCCTCATCCTTTGTCCTCACCCTCATGAAATTGAAATTGGTGGCTGAGTGCAAGAGCCAGACAAATTTTATCATCAAGGCCTAGAGAGTAAATATTTTAAGTTCTGCAGATCATAGGGTCTGTGTCATAAACACTCAATTCAGTCATTGTAGAGCACAGTGGCCCAGAGACACTGTGTGAATGAATAAGTCTGGTGGTGCTTCAATAAAACTTTATTTATAAAAACAGGCAGTGGGCCAGATTTGGCCTGAGGGGTTGGTCATGCAAGCCACAAACATGAGTCACTATGTATTTCAATTCCATATGTCATTTTAAATTGTCCTAGTAAGAAACAGGTGGAAGGAGCTATAATAATGTGCTTTCTTTAGTCCAATCTATCCGAAATACTACCATTTCAACCAGTAATCAATCTTAAAAAATGCTAATGAGACATACATAGTCCATTCTTTTTTGTAACACCACATCTTTGAAATCAGTATTCATTCTATACTTCCTGTGCCCCTCAGTCAGGACTGATGTGTGTCTAGTGCTCAGTAGCCACACATGGCTGGTGGGCTCCACACTGGACAGCCAGGCCTAGCAGAGGGGCCAGGAGGACACTGCCTGGGGCAGTGACCGATCTGACATCAGCTGAGTGCATGAATGAATTATCACCCAAATCAAACTAGTTGCTTGCTTGCTGGGTAATCTTGAACATGGTTCTGAAACAACATGGTCTGTTTGGGGCCCAAAGTATCAAGTGGGTGTTTGGCTTCAGCTCTGCTGCCCCTGCCAGCTCTGCTGTGTGGAAATTCTAGGACTAAGGGTTTAGCAAATGGAATAATCCATTGGAATTTCTTTGCTAAAAGGC